TAAGAAGAACGTAATGTATTTTTTCTAAAAGTGTACATTTATATTTTACCATTGTACATAATTTTAAGTGTCTCGGAAAGGTTTCAAGAGTTTTGTATATAGATATTTTTATTTTATTTTGTATATACTATGTATAATTAATATTTTCTTTACTCATTTAACTTTATTTTTACTTTTTATGTTTGTTTTTATTTGGCCAGATATAATATTTTAATTTTGTACTTTTTTGTTCTTCTAAAGGGACTTCGTCGCAGAATAAAATTATTTTGTATTCTATTCTATTCTATTCTAAATTCCACAATTCTCTATATCTTTTTGTATTTTATCCGTTCTATCCCTGAAGAAGACCTGCAAAATCGGGTCGAAACGTTGGCTTTTAATAAAATAGTTTTGTACCATTTGTAATGAGCTATTATTCAAAATTGTATATTCTGACGCTGTATCAGAGAGCCAAAAACAGAAAACTACAGTGCCAAACCAAATTGCATACTAAATATCGTTATAGTAAATATGACGAATCATGGTAAAATAATAAGAATATACGATGATCACATATTTTATCATAAACCCGTTGTTTATTTATTTTTACGGTATGATACTGACTTAGTACAAAGTTTACCAGGGTAATTTAAACACAATTATAATATTATATTATTTCTAAAAAAAGGTTTTTTTTTTTGTCGGTACGCCATAACTTCGTCAATTCTTCATCAAATCCAATGATTGTCCACTCATTTTGAAGATATTCTTCTCCTTCACATGAGAAAAACAGTCATATCCATTCGAAATTTTTGTGAAAAATGTTATGAAGGAAAAGGAACTTTATATGGGAAGAACCCAGGAGTATGCACTTTTTTTTATTGTTCATTTGGACTCAGGAGAACTCAAAACATGTATTTCCGTTGAAAACTCGAAACTCGAAAATTTTCACGATCACAATACTTACCTTTACTATATATTGCATATATAGGTAAGTGAATTTAAAATTAAAATTGTCTTTCTTAAAAAACATTTCTCAATCGTTGCAATGTTTTGCTCTCATAACTAATGAGTATGCCAACCAAAGCAAAAGAGCAAATGTAAAACCAACACCAGAATTACATAATTAACGAAAACGAATGAGTGCTTAAAAGAATGCTTAGCGAGTCATATCTTTTGTTAGAGTCAGGTTGAGCAACCATATTCCATGAAATAATTAATTCGTTTTTGTTTTTTTTCAAAAGAAAGGGGAAGAGGTGAAGCGGTTGGTACACCTGACCCCGCTGAGCAAGGTCCTGTTTGTTCTAATCCTGGCTTGTCTTTTTTAATTTTCCTTTTCCTCTGTTTAAAATTGTATCCTGCAGGATCTCACTCCCAGCTTATTCTTAAATAATTAAAAGGGCGGATGAGTTAGCATTCCCTTCCCCTCCTTCCACCTCAGGAATGAAGTGTTATTCCTCCTGTAGTTTGCAAAGTGTTTCCTCCTTTCATATTCTGTTTAGGTTAGATTTTAATTCTTTGCAGACTAAGCGGAGTAAATGTAGGTGTGAAAAGACTAATAACAATTATGTGAGAAAATAAATAACATTCGAAAAATCCTTCATTATGCAAAATATTTCAACCAAATAATTTCGTATTAACTTGAAATAAAAATATTCCGATTACAATATTAAACGATATATTAAATTCCTAGTAATTTGTTAAAGTTCGAACCTTAGTAGAGAAAGAGACGGGTCATGAAAAAGAAAAAAAACTACGTCTTGGAGGAAGAGTTAGTCGACGGCTCTACATATCATGGATGATAAGTATTCAAGACGCCCTGATGATGACCCACATGTTTGGGTTGAAACGTCGGCACTAATAACAACTTTATGAGTGCGTCATGAATATTTATCACCCTAAAAAAAAAAAATAATAAGGAGTGTGCACACAATACAAGTGAAAACATGGACATTGCGAGATTAATAATAAAAAATTTAAATTATAAATAATAGCTCATTATAAAGAGGATGGAATGCAGAACAATTCCCTCACTTATAGTATGCAGGTCTGATGTTTACTTTCTGGGATATTTAAATCCATATCTTCGATAAAACTCGTTATAATTTGGTTTTCCATCCAATTATTCCCTTTTCGGCTCTCTAACACAGCGTTGCATTAAGATAAAATTTTCAATAGCAGTCCATTCGAGTGAAAATGAAATGCTGAACATTTCCCTCGCTTATAGTGTGCAGGGACGATACCTAGTTTCTCGGATATTTAAATCCATATGTTCAACCAAACTCGTTCCTTTTTTCCCTTTTTGCCTAGCAAACATGACGTCACGTTAAGATACAATTTTGATTAATAGCTCATTACAAAGAAGATAAAATTCTCAACATTTCCCTCAGTATTTAACATTTAACCTTACAGTATTAGGTTAGATTTTTAGTTTTTGAGATATTTCAATCCAAATGCAAAAACACTTCAAAAATATACTGGCATCCTTAAATTATAAAATAACCCTAGTTTTGAGTAAAAATGTGGTTGTTATTAATCGATCACTGAGCGAAAAAAAAACAAGTACAGGACGGTAAAAATTTTCACGAATACGCTCTTGAGATCAGTGTGTTTCATACCTTCCTACTAACAGTTTTGCTAAGAGTAAGTTGATCATTTATGTTACGTTGACTTTGTAGTTAAATAAAAGTTTAGAATTTTTCAGTTTCAGGTAGAGATATCTCATCCTCTAGTTTAAGGAAGATAAGAGTAGTCAGTATTGTGCAATCTCCATAATATTTAACTAATTACAAAGTATTCCACAAACGACATAGTAGCCGATTAAGAAGTAAACCCTAAATGGAAAAGTATATTAATTAAAGAGAAACGCCATTAGTCATTAAATGACTCTCGTAATAGCTCGGCTACTGCAATAAGCAGGTCGGAAATTTAATTTTTAAGATATTTCAATAAATATGTGGAAACAAATCCATTAGTCGATTGCAGCCGTCAACTACTCGAGAGTTACACATCGGAGATCTGACGGCTCAATCTAATTCACTTTTTACAAAAAAAAGTGTAAAATGCGCCTATAGAAGTTTTCATTTAAAAAAACAAACATAATTAACGTAAAAATTGTACATGAAGATTTATTTGACTCAAAACTAAAGGAGTAGTACCGATATCAATTCCAATTACTGACAGAAAGTTGGGTGGTAGTAGTTAAAAACTATGGACTATACTTTGAATAGTATTCAATAATGGTTAATATATGTAATATGAAATAAAGGTATAATTATGCAAAAACATTTTCGTAACAACCTAATATTTATCACGCATTAGGATAAGTACACCAGCGATGGACACAGCTAAATGAAATTTTGTCTTTTTTGTCTTATTCCACCGTAATTATTATAGTTATAAACTTTTCCGTTGTACATTTTGAATCTCTAGGGTCTCCTTTTTCTATTTACCACTTTAAAATTGAAAAAAATATTCAGTTATGCAGATATAATCTCCACTTAAAAAAAAAAATCTGTTTGCACTAGTAATGGACAGAGCACAATTCAATTGTTCTATTAATGGACAGGGGAGTCGTTACCAGTAATGGACATAACTCATAAAAATTCTAAATTCATTTTATAACTATAAAGATAACGATAAATATAAGATAAATGTTCAACTTATTCTTAGCAAAACTGTTAGTAAGTCAGGTATGAAACACACTGATCTCAAAAGCACTATAGAAACAACAAGGCATTTTACAATTTTCTTTTGGGAACTTTGTTTATACAGTTGTCAATATAGGGCATTGTTCTTCAACCTAGCAAAAACCTGGAATCTGTAAAGCAACATGAAAGCTTATTATTTACATTTTAAGTATTGCCTGTCCATAATTGGATCCTATGTCCATAACTGGTGCGTTGACCCTATGGGAATTCGTAAAATTTTGAAATCACGGCTTTCAACAAAACTAGATGTTTTGAGATCCCCTGAGTCGACATAACCAAGTATTGTAAAATGGTTTGAGTGTATGTGAACAGTCTAGCTCAAAAACAAAAGGATATGATGATTAAATTCATTGTATGCATGTAAAATTGAGCGGTTCTTAATATAAAACAGATCTTATTTTCATTGATGTTCTTTAATGCAAGGCATAGGGTTCCCATCCACACAACCTTACGTTAACTGTAGTAGTGTCATTGAATACATGTCTCATTTTGTCGACTTGAGGCCAGTATGATCAAGAGATAAAGGTATAATTATGCAAAAACATTTTCGTAACAACCTAATATTTATCACGCATTAGGATAAGTACACCAGCGATGGACACAGCTAAATGAAATTTTGTCTTTTTTGTCTTATTCCACCGTAATTATTATAGTTATAAACTTTTCCGTTGTACATTTTGAATCTCTAGGGTCTCCTTTTTCTATTTACCACTTTAAAATTGAAAAAAATATTCAGTTATGCAGCATTATTGATCGATGGTGTTTTTTGATCGGCAAGCCATATCATCGTTAATTCTTCACCAAATCTCAAGATTGAGCCAGCAGTTTCGAAGGCTTTTTTCAGGCGGGCCAATAGTCCAATAGTCCAATCAACCCGAAAATTCAGGCAAACAAGTTATAAAAGAAAACACTTTATTTGCGAATAACTACAAAAATACATACTTTTCTCTTGGTTATGCTCATGATTATATAAAAGATTACTAAATTCCCTACAAAAAAAAATCATCGAATTCGGACAATTTTTAGTAAAGATACAGCTTATTGAAATTTGTAAACATGTTGGTTCCAAACATCAAAGAAGATTTAAAATTATTTTTGTTTCCTTAGTCGTTTATATTTATCGATTAAGCAACACTTTATTTTTGTATCTTTTGATACGTTGCATTTTCTTTTCTTAATAAGTAGGCATTTGAAAACAATTTTTCGCATGGGCCTACTAGTTAACATTTAAAGTCCAAGCTGGTGCGTTCGCGTTAATCGTCCATGAATTTTGAACACATTTCATTATATGCTAATATTCATGTTAATGGCATTAACTTCAACAAATCGATTTCTTTTAATCGATCCCAAACAAGAAGAATCGGATCCGATCAGGAGATAGCCAAGTTGGAGAGAGGTAATTCGATTGGAGATATCGAGGGATTAGAGCTCGAGTTAGCAGTGGGCAGCTCGAGCCCTGATTAGCCAACAACAACAACAACAAAGCATCACCTTGTTGGGATCCCTTTAACTTGTTCTTGTCGGCTCCGAACTTTGCACTTCCTCTTCGGCTTCGTCCTGGACCGGTAATGGAATCGGCCGGGGGTGGAGTAGACCCTCGTTCCCCTTCCATTCCCTATATCCCTTCCCTTCTCCTAACCAATATCCCCTTTTATTTCCACAAGTTAAAGTTAATCCTGATAATATAAGAGGACTCTCACATGCGATAGCCATCCTTCTTCAAAATTCAACAGATATTAGCGAAACATGTTACATTGAATATTTAATAGTTGACCGTTGCATTGTAAAGGAACGAGACGGTCCGGGATTGCGGACAAATAAAAAGGCTAAATAGCGGCAAAACTATTTTATTGAAAGCTAAAAAATCTAAGCTTTCAGACGACAAAAAACTACTAATCTACAAGACAATCCTGAAACCTATCTGGTGGACCTACGGACTAGAGCTGTGGGGTTCAACAAAACCTTCTAACATAAAGCGCATTCAATCCTTTCAGTCTGAAGTCCTCCGAACATAGTCGATGCTCTCTTCCATCTAACCCAATAAAATCCTTCATATCCCATTTGTTATTGACCTAATCCCAGACAAATTTCCAAAATTTCACCAGAAACTCACTCATCATCCGAATCCTGTTGCACAATCCCTATCTTGCTCCAGCCATCCCCGGAAGTTAAAACGGCAGTGGCCCCGCGACCTTTTGTAAATATGTATATATTGGAGTACTGGCAATGGTCAGATTTTCCACTCATGTCCTGAGCGTCTGTTGCTCTAGTGCCCTCCATCAGTCTCCACTGGGTTGCAATAAAACTATTGAAACCAATAAAAATATTGCAATACAAGTGACGCGGCTGGGAGAAAAGCAATGGGATCTCCTGGGGCCCACCTTGGATTTCACAATTGGGGGACAAAGCATGACTCAAAATAGTATTTTTAATTAAGCAGATAAATACTAGCAATGGCCAGATTCCCCACTCGAGTCCTGAGTGTTTGTTGCTCTAGTACTCTCTATCAATCTCCACTGGCTTACAATACCAGTGACGTGGCTGGGAGGGAAGCACTGGAATCTCTTGGATCCTGATTTGGCTTCCACATTTCGGAGACAAAGCATGACTCAAAGTCCCCTGGGCGAATGTAAATATTGTATATAGGTGTGAATATGTTTTATATATTTCAATTTCATTTAGTTTCTCTCTCTCTCTATATATATATATATTATATATTTTTACCTATGTATGTTAATTTTCTTATTTTACTTCCACGACTCTTTTTCTTTTATCTCTATTTTAGTTATCATTTGTATGTATATATTGTGTGAATGTTTAATCTAGCCCTAATATTAATGCGCTCCAATGCAGCAGAATTTATTATAATAATTTTAAAAAAAACTAACGTTTCGACCCGACTTTGTAGGTCTTCTTCAGGGCTAGTTTGTCCGTTCTAGCCCTGAAGAAGACCTACAAAGTCGTGTCGAAACATGTTAGTTCGTATATACGTACAGGGTATCCTGTAAGTAGATGGAAATATTTAAAAGTTTGATAGTAGTTGAAAAAATTTATAAAACAATTGCCTAATTTCCAGTAGAAAAGTAGGAAAGTAAAGATATATGTTTTTTTAAACGAGCCACGTTTTTTGTTGAATACAAAAAAATAACCTAATGACTATTTAATTTAAGTAACTAAACATTGCTCCATATTAAACTAAATAAAATTTAATTTAAACGGAAGTAGATTTTGTCATTGGTAAAACTATTTAAAGTGGACTACAGGGCAAACAAACACAGCTAAGTTTCGTTTAAAAAAGTCATAAATTATTTGCGGATTTTTTTTTATAGCGACAGAGCATAAACCTTCCCCCACCCCTCCCAAGATATTTTATTCCTCTCATCCTCTTAAAAACAGTGCAAACGAAAGTAGAATTTGAATATTCGTAGATTATATACAATTACACATACTGCGGTCTGTTCCATGCTTCCGATTGTCTTCTAATTTGAAACTTTTCATTTTGAAAATTTCATAACCCCATCGAAATGCGCCCTCCTCAAAAATTGAAAACCGCGGCACCCCTGGTAAATTAGTCTTATAATAAAGTTATAGCAGTTTTCTTTTGGAGTGTCTAAAATAGTTGGGATGTTATTATATTACAAGCTATACAATGTCTCGTGTGACAATAAAATATCTTGGAGAAGCCGATTCGGAAATACAGTTAACCTTCAACATTCCCGAGTTTGATATCCACGAATTTCGTTAATCAGCTAATATTAAAATGCGAGGGTGGCGTATTTGAAGATTCCATATTTAATTATCTCTAATTTAAAAAAAAAACATACTGAACATATATTTCACTACTGTTAGTGCAGAAGATCGTGTAAAGTACAAAAACTTCATTAGTATAATTTCATATTTTATTGTCTTTATGTAATATATCGTTAGCGACATAAAACGATACGTCAACAATCCTTCACAAAATTTTGGGCAGGAAAGACTGGATTTTTTTTAATATTGGAAGTTTTAGCAGAATCCCAAAGTTCTATGTCATAAGTCCAAATTAGTTTAAGTAAAACTTTATAAAAAGTTAGTAAATTAGTCAATGATAATTTTGAACGTCTGTCAAGTAACCTAGATAAAATACCGTATCATCTGTTTAATTCTATTCGTTTTTGTCTTCTGTGAGTCCTCCAAGTTACTCTTTTGTCGAGTAAAAAAAAAAAAAAATATATCAAATTACATCTGATGCTGGTATTTCAATGTTATTAAAATATAACAACAAGAAAACAAAATAAAATAACTTAATGTGAAAAAAAAACAACTTCAAAAGGTAATAATAATAATATATTTAGCTGCTACAATAGTACTTTTTGAGGGCACTCAATGTTCTTATATGCGGTGTCTTCAAGAAATATATAAGACCTTATATTTTCAATTTTTTATTTTACTTCCAACGACGTTTCGAGCTGATTAGCTCATAATCAAATTCATCAAAAAACATTTTTTTATCTTCTAAAATGTATTTCAATATTAAAATTTCATGAATAAACTATTAACAAATAAGAATAATAAATGTCACAGATTATTATTCGTGCACTTCCCTTACTACCTCCTCCGTCTAGTTTTTAATATTAAAAAGTGGAATATATGTGAATATGTTGAACCAAGTTGGGATACACACCATACCAAATTTGTATTTTGAAAAAATGTTTTCAGTTTTTGAAAAGAATTAGTCCTTTGATCTTATGTTATTGTTACAGGGCATGAAAATCCATTTTTTTTTTATTTTATTTTTACATTTTCTATTACATTCCGATATTACATTACTCGTGATGTTAAACGGGAGTGGGGTTAAAGATCCAAACAGGAGAGTAAATTTTCCGAAACAGTGAAATTAAATACTAAATTAATTTTTTCCTTCTTTGAACTGAATTTTAAGAGTTTTAGAAGTTATAAGGAACTATAAAAAAATTATTAAAGGGACAAATAGAAATTATAAGTTATTGAAGGAAGTTAGTCGACTGTTCTACATATAATAATAATAATAATAATAATAAAAGGCTTAGCGAACCCGAAGGTTCGATGCCGACACCACCAATCACTTATTACATACCTCCCTCCACCGTTCGCCGTCCAAACCCAGTCCATTCAGATCGGCTTTAATGCAATCTTCCCACCTTCGCTTCGGCCTAACCCTCGGACGCTTACCATTCGGCACAGCCAATATTAACCTTTTAGGAATTCTCTCGTTACTAAATCCAACATCTTTACAAGCCCATTTGATTCGCCGCGATGAAATTATCTCAATTATATTACTCGGATACAGTTCACGCAATTCGGCGTTGTGTAACCGTCTGAACTCTCCGGTTAACTCATCCTTCTTCGGTTCAAATATTCTACTTTATTTTCAAAAACCTTAAGACGCTGTTCATCCCTTGATGTAAGCGGCCAAGTTTCGCACCCATAAAGAACTGTAGGCAAGATAATTGTTTTATAGGTTCTAATTTTTAAGTTTCGGGACAAGAGGCGCGAACTAAGTAGTTTTGTCACAGAAAAATAACAACGACGTACATATAAATACATATTCAGTGTAATATAGAGTAAGGATAAGTATTACGATCGTGAAAATTTTTTAATCTTAGTTTTCAAAGAAAATACACGTTTTGAGGTCCCCTAAATCCAAAAACCTAAGATACGCAAAATGGCCTGTGTTTGTGTTAACAGTCTAACTCAAAAACGAAAAATCGTACGGAAGTGAAATTGCATATTTAAGGTTTTAATACGCTAGGAATGCTACAGAACTTTTTTCGTCAAAATCGGCTAACCGGAAGTGGCACTTTATATAATGGACTAAGCACATTTTTACGATTATCTCAAAAACCGCTCTAACGATTTTGATTAAATTCATCATATCAGTGTAAAATTAAGCAGTTTTAAATAAAATATAGTTTTTATTCCGATTGATGTTCTCTAACAGGGCTTAAATGGCTAATTTGCAATATTAGCTTCCTCGAATATACCTTTAATTTTTGTTATTTGAAACAATTGACCATTTCAAATTAATCTCTAATATAAAAATATAGTTAAATATAAAATAAAACAGAATTAATTAACTAAAGGAGAAATAAGAGATCGTCACGGAGAATAGTTGTAATTGAGGAACCTTACTATATCATTAATGGTGATAAATATTCAGGACTCAGTCTTTTTTTAAAAAAGGATTTTATTTGTGTCAACGTTTCAACCTAAACATGTGGGTCATCAGTCAATAAATAAATAAATATTTAATATTTCTCCAAGTTAAGAAGTAAGAACTCATGATCTCGACAAAGTCTCCCCTCTCTACCCTCCCCCCCTGTGATCTCCCCAAACAATAATATTCACGATATAAGCTCCTTAGGTTACTCGGACCACATAAGATGCCGAGAGGAAGGGCTGTGCACATATTGACAGAGGAACCATTCATCTTCCCGAAGGAATAGAGGAAGAGAGGGGAGAGGGAAGAATCAGGCTTAGCGATGCACCAGCAACCACAAGGCCAAGGGGGGTAAGGAAAGGGTGGTAAGGAAAGGGGTCTTCTCTTGTAGTGTAGCTGATAGCTGAAAGGAGATTACGGGGGTGTGAATAAGCCTTTTCAAAATACCTTAGAGTTCTCTTCTAAATAT